GCGGTAAGTTGAGGTGCCATGTGCTGTGTACAAATGCATACATGCGGTATTTCTATACAGCACACTTTAGAGCACCTGTTTGCCGTGAACAGGGTACATAGAAAGCAATGGTATCAATGCAGGTCATTGAAGTTCTTTGGGGATGGTATGAACAAGCCCCTATTAAACAGAGTTGCTTAAAAATTATGTATACAATTCAAGCTTCATTTTTTTCAATGTGTGAACTGGGAAGTATGAAATGGTTCTTGCTTTACTGACCTCGAGCATAAATAAAAATCACATTCATCATTAACTGCCATCTGACCTAATAAATCCACAAACGATCCTACAAAATTAGAAAATAGAAATGCAAAAATAACACAGGCTATTGTTCTTGCAACATAAGCTTGTAGAATGGAGTTCGCACTTCAGATTTTCTTATCAGATTTACTTACAATAGAAGTAGTTAGAATGTATTATTGTTCAATTATTATGTGCAAATTGGGGCAAAAGTATGGGTATATTACCTGTAAACTAGAATATTGTGAGGCAGCAATGCCTCATTTGTATTATTTCATTTTTGTATGTTCAGTTTTTTATTTAAAACTCAACTCCAGACAGATACAAAACACCAATGCATGCAGGTATGTATTTAAAAGATAAAATGTTTAATTTCAATTTCAGTAGGTACCTGAATTTGGCTTGGTATTGGTTTCTTGCTCAGACATAGGGTGGCATGGGCAGGTCTGGGAGCCAGTCAGTTGTTTTGCAGTGCTCATGTGCTAACACAGAACTTGATAATAGGAACGGAAAGCAGAGTGACAGAGAAATTAACTAATCGGTGTACAGCTTTTTCTTCATTGTCAATCACAGACTTGGGGCAGGGACAAGACCTAGTTGCATTACTTAATGGCAGTGAAGAGGACTCAGGCCTCCAGACAGGCTGTGCTGTCTGGTAGGACTGTGTATATCTCATGACTGGATAGACAAAAATACAAATGATGTGCCTAGTAAAACAGCTCATATGCAATGTATATCTATTTCATCTGTGTTTTTAGCTGTTTGCCTGAAGTTTAGATTTAAGAAGATTTTTAACTAGAACACAAGGGATTAGATTAGTAATTTGCTCAGTAACTTAATGCCCATTTTCACCTTTGCCAGCAATGTACACAGAGTATACATGAAGCAGGCATATGCAGCTGCTGTATATGAACACACACCTATTTTTTTTGTTAGCTTGCCTTTTCATATCCTTATGGAAATGGCTGCCTAAAATGAAAAAAGGAAACGGGTGTATGGCCTGGAAGAGATGGAGTGAGGATGTGTTTCTCTTCTGGTTCTGCAGCGCTCAAGCTCTTCATAATCATATATCAGTGCTCCTCAGTGCATCCTCCTCATACCTGGGAAGCAGCGATCAGCTAGGCACCGCTCCCCTCTCTCATCAGGCTCTCTCTCTGCCTTCTTCGAGAAGCGCCTGGATACCCGACCTCTGGCCGACGCAAGGCCTGCATCGCGGCCAACATGCCTGAGCTCGCGTGTTGGTCGCTTGCTGAGGGAGGACGCCATGGTAGATCAGGTATCCTCCTTGCAGTCCACCCCAACGGCTATTGTGTCCTGCTGTTCCCCCGCCTGTCCTTCTTCTCATTGTGCCGCTCCTCCTCTGCCTTCTACTGGCCTACACGCCTACCTTCCTCCCAGGACTTACCTGTTATCCATTGGCAGGAGGGGAGCTTTCCTGGAGACCCTACTGGTTCCTCTGCATCGGGCTTTCCTCCCTAAGAGTGCTGTTCTACTGTAATTGCTTGTACTCCGTTGCAGCTTGACTCCTCTCAGCAGTCTTCCTCTTGTGCTGGTCCTTGGAATGTGCTGTTGAACAGACCGACAATTTTGCTTACTCTCAGGAGAAAATGGCAAACATTTCTACTCCTCCGTACAACCGTGAGTTACGCTCCATTCTTAACTTTTTATCCACAAGACAAGACATTGAGATGCAAACTGAGTGCATTGAGACAACATTAAAAAGGGACCTGGATGAGATCCTTGCAGATCTCTATAATACTGCTAACAGGGTTGAGTCATTAGAGCAGACTACCACTGTATTGCAACAAAAGCTGCAACATCTGGAACACGTAACATGCTTCTATGGTTTCTTTTGCAAAACATCAGTTGCACCTAGACGACTTGGAGAACCATAGTTATAATAATGTTAAAATCCGTGGTGTTCCTGAATCTATAAATTACCTGAAGGCTAAGGTTCTTTTGATTATCAAAACTTTCCTGGAAAACCTGAGACAGCTGACTTCGAAATTGATCGTGTGGATCATACGCTGGGCCCCTTCGCGATGGATGCAAGGCCCCCTGATGTTCTGCGTCATATACATTTTTTTCTCTTTAAAAAGAGCAGCTGATGTGGAAAGCCTGGGAGAAAGGTACTATTGACCTAGATTGGATGCAAATCTCCATTTTGCCGGACCTTTCCTGCAAGACTCTTTTCATGCGCAACGCTTTGTGGCCACTTCTTCAATTTGTGACCTCCAAGGGCTACTCATACAAATTGGGTCACCCTTTTCACTTGCTGATTCAGAATGGGGACTCTACCTTCCAGCTACAACTCCTGATCAGATCCCAGCTTTTTTTCAGTTTTTGGAGACTGATCCGATTTTTCTTCCTAACTGGATTGTGGGCCCCTCGTGGTTGCCTTTGCCTTAACGTGTGCCACGCAGATCGCGGCTGAATAGAAGAGCTGGGAGAGCTGCTGTCCTGGACCCTCCGGCAGCTTGAAGAAGTGTTGTGGCCATTTCTCTACTATGCCTCTCTTTTTTGATGGGGAGTTACCTGTCTCCCCTACTACTTCGATGACTTTTCACCTTGCTTGATTTGGCAGCAAGGCCTGAATGTCTGTCATTGTTTGATTATCTTATTGTGGATGCTCAGTTATTTCATGTGATAGCTCCCCCTGTTTTTCCCTTTTCCTCTCCCTTACTTTTCTCCTCTGCACCTTTGAGTTTTCTCACCTTATGTCCTCCTCTTTCCTTCTCCTCCCCCATCTTTCATTCTTTTTCTGTTCCCTCCCCCTCTTTCATCTCTTCTCCCCTTCCCTCCCTTATTTCTACACAGGTTATAGCACTTGTCATCTTTATGACCCCGACTGTGTTGGGCTTTGCCTCGTCCCTTGTCTTTTGTGAACCGGCTTATGTTGGGGTGGGCGTTATTTCCTCCTCTTCTGATCTTGTTGGTCAGGGGTGATGGGTTGAGGCCTGGTCTTAGCAGTCCATGGCCATCTTGGGTAGGAGCTATTTTATATATCAAATGTTTTATTCCTTACTTGTTTTACATTCAGGTGGAGTTTAGTTAGTGTTGCTATTCTCCATGTTGATTTCCTTGTGTTTAAAATGGCTCATTAAGTCTTTACCACTCCCTTCCAATATGTTTGGAGTATAGTTTCATTCTTGTTTGATTATTGGTTGCGAGAGCGACTGTATCCAGCACTCGGACCTTACTGTTGACCATTGCTAGTCACTGCACCCCACATAGACCTATTGAGTGGGTTGTCTCTCTCTGGGTCGACTGACATTGTTTGTTGGCCCCGACTTGAGGCAGACCCTCTCAAGCTTTGGTCTGTTTAGGACCTTTTTAAAGTATTTTTTAGCCTCTTTTTCTGATGTTTCACTTATCTTTTTTTCCTTGTCTTCTTTCTTTTCTTGGCTTCTCCCCTTTTTTTTCTCTCCACATTTCTCCAATTAATTCCCCACCCCCCCTTTTTTTTCTTTCAGCCTTGGTGGTTTAGGAGGGTGGCATATTTCCGGCCCTTTTTCATTTTCCCAGCCTTACATTTTTACATAGATCAGGATGTCGTCTTTTTCCTTTGCTTCCTACTCATGTTGCCTTTATTATTGTTCAGTCCGTAACCCTTTGAAACGTTTCTATTTTCATTTCCCATTTTTCCCCACTGGTAATTCTAGAAGGGTTAGCATTTTTACTTCTAGGCTGGTTCCATGGCATTTCTTGGAGGAGTTTTCTGATGATTCTGGGAGGCTCTTTATTGTCAAGGGTTTGATCGGCTGTATCGTCCAAATACCGATCAAATAGCTGTTGGAGCACTTTCTTGATTTGATTCTCCAGCACCAGGAAGGTGACCATATCCTCGGTGGCGATTTGAACTTAGCACTAGACCCTCTGCTTGATACTTCCAAGGATTCATCTCACCTTTCCTATGTGAAGTTGCGTAGGATTAAGGCCGCCTTGCATACTCTTCACCTTGTTGATTCTTGGTGCACGCTTCAGATAAGGATTACACCTTCTTTTCTGCGGTGCACGGTTCGTACTCTCGGATTGACTACCTTTTCGTATTGCAATCTTGCTTCCCCTTGCTTACTGGGGCCTCCATTGGAATAGCAACATTGTCTGATCATGCTCCTACATGTTGCACCTTGTCTTTCAGTCCCGTTGCTGGGTCACAATTACAATGGACTCTTAACAAATCTCTGCTCTCTGACTTTGCTGTCTAAAACACTATTTTGGTGGATAGTGAGCAGTTTTTTACCTTGAAGGACGTTCTGACACGGACCCGATGATCTTGCGGGGATCTCACAAATGTGTCATCGGAGGTCCCCTAATTAAATTTTGTGCCTACAAGAGAAAATACACTCAGACTCCTCTGGACTCCCTTCTGGTAAGGTTTCAAGATTTGGAGAGCTCATAAACGTTCCTTGGCATGCGCTGTCGCTGCTAAATTGAAGGTGGCTTGTGAATGCCTGAACAAATTTCTTATGGACAATGCAAGATATGAAGGGTTTTGTTTTTTTACAATTTGCAAAAAAGATTTACAAGTCAACTTTTAATACAGTGGGCATTCATGATTTACGATACACAGAATATTGTGGGGTTTCTAAAGAGAGTGCAGAAGAAGCTGGACTTGCTGGCTGGAGATGGATATAAAATATCAATATGCAATGTATAGTTTTAATCCTAGCCGTAAAAAAAGGTAGTTTAACATTAAAAAACAATAACAATACACAAGTAGGGTTAGGTTACATTTTAATAAAAAAAATCATAAAAAAGGATTTATACCCAGATTTCCGTTTAACCAAAGCTTCCGTAGCAGCAGACCACTCCTTGCTACCGGGGGGCAATTGCCACCCTGCCCCCCGGCCCAGTCCGCCCCTGCTTTGCTTTCACCCTCCTGTCCAGTTCATCCAAGAATCAGCTCGATGGGGTTTAAGTCTGGAGATTGTGCTGGACATTCTATGATTTGAAGCCTACATACTTGTTCTTACACAGCCTGGAGTTAGTTCTGACACATTCTGGAGGTATGTTTTGGGTCATTATTTTGCTGTTGGATGAACCTCTGACCAACTTAGGTGTACACCAGAGGGTATTGCATGGCGCTGCAAAATGCTGTGGCAGTTGTTTTGATTTAGGGTGCCATTCACTCTGTGCAAGTCGCCGACTTTGGATTCAGCAAAAGAGCTCCAGACCATCAAGCTTCCTCCTCCATGTTTGACAGGAACCATCCTTTCGCCTACTCGACGGCATATAAAAATCCCGCAAGGCGAACTGACAATCTCAAATTTTGATTCATTGGCCCATATGATATTCCCCAGTCTTCAGTATTCCAGTGGTGGTTTTTCATGGCCCAAGCAAGCCTCTTTTTATTATTTCACCATCTTAGCAATGGCTTTCTTACTGCCACTTGACCTGTGAAACCTGCAGTTCGAAGTCTTCTCTTCACAGTTGAAACTGATATTTTTTTTTCCGATCAGTGTTAAGCTGTGCTCCAAGCTTTTGTCCTGTGAGCTGTCCGTCACGCAAGCTGCAGACCTGTCTTCTGATTCTATTGTGGCTTTGGGTCTTCCAGGCCTGTTCCTGAGAGTTTCCTCCAGTTTTCAAGTGCCTTTTGATGGTGTAGGAAACTGTGTTTACTGACACATTGGCTTTCTTTGCAATTACTCTAAAGGAAAGACCAAATATTATAATGGTCTGTCTGTCTTTAATTGCCTTTTTCTTCCCATTTTGAGCGCAATATACTACTTCCTGCAGTTCAATACTGTCCAAATATTGCTTAAGAGCGTGTAGTAACACAGTCTGTTTCAACACTGAGTTTATAGAGAGGGCTTGTGAGTAATCAACAAAAGTCGGGACACCTGTAGGAATTGTTAGCAAAATATTTCAAGGCTTAATTTACTTACATTGCTGCAGAATAACTGTCAGTTTTTTACACATTACTTCTTCCCTCGAAAAAGACCGTTTTGTATAGCTCTGAAAAGTACATTATTTTTCCCACCAGGCTGTTAGAACAGTTCCCACAGCCTCTTCTCCCCTGGGCATAAGCTCCAATGATGTCCTCGCGTGTAATACCGGTCCATTGACTTGCATTAGTTGTGAGGACGCCAAGGGACATACCACACCTGGAGCAGAGGGAGAGAAAGGCTAGTGGTCACTGCTACAGGAATGAGGTTCGGGTGATTATAACTTTTCTTTATTTTAGACCATAGCCCAAAATGAGCACTTAATCCTTGCAGTACGGGGGTGGCCCCACTGCAAGGTTTAATTTGTAATTTGCCCAGAGTTCCTCTTTAATGGCTTGTTCACAAGGGACCCTGTGTGGCCCCAAAACGTTGTCTTCTGTTACTGTGCCGTTTTGTCCAAATAAATGGACATATTGAAGGTTATTGTTGAGTGCTGGTGAATCATTGTCTCTCCCCTTCTCAAACTGTGTCACAACAGATGTAGAAGTCTGTCTTGCTTCAGTTTACACATGGAGGAATGTATTTTTTTTTTTAATTTGACAGTTACCAATAGAAAATCAGCTGCATTATTTTTTCTGCCTGCGTTAAAGTGGTGGCTGGAATCTGGATACTATGGTGAATCCTCTTGTATTATTCTTCCAGTATTATAAGTGAGACCCTTTGTTATTGTCATTTATTTTCCGGATACTAAATTTGCATGTTAATTATAAGGCATGTTAGACGTACAAGTGTAACCTGAACTTTAGGGCTTGTTTAAACTGCCTGTGTGTTTTGTGGAGGAGTGGTGAGGGGCGGTGTGACGCATTGCTACAATTCATCGCACTGTACGTTTTTCCTTGTTAACTTTATTACAGTGTCATGCTGCATTTTCGTGCATAGCGGTAAGTTGAGGTGCCATGTGCTAAAAAAAAGTATTTCAATATACTTTAAGAGATTAATACTATGTGGAATATTGAGTATGTAAATTGGAATACTTGTCTCCCTTGGGCAAGTACCATTACATTAATGTGCCATCATACAAGTCATTACAACTTTTACACCACATTTGTTAAAAAAACAAATAGTCCATCATGATACCCTTTTTTGTGTTTCAAATTCTAAGATTTTGCTCCAGGTTAAAGCTCCCCTGTCAGGATTAAAATAAATCCAAATGAAAGGTCCCTACCATACAAAAGCATTCCCTGCAGTACAATGCCTTTGTAAGATTTTTTGCTATTCAACGATTCTGGGAGTGTCCAATACCCTCGCCACATGCTTTGGTTCCATCCTCCCATCCCTATGTAACTACAGTCAGCAGTGATATACAAATCGGTGGTAGTAGCCACAGCTTGAGGCAGGGGCACAGGGTACCACACTCCCAGAAGTGTTGAATGGAAAGGAGTGTTACAAAGGCTTTTAGCCTGACAGAGTTGCTTTTAAAAATCTTGGTTTAGACCCATGTATCATTCGCACACAGTCTGATACATTAACTTATTACTGTCAGGGGATATGCACAACTCGGGACAAGAATTCCTCAACATATTCTCAAGTACCCACTTGGGAAACCACGTTAATCTAATATTATTACCAACTTTCCAGTGTTACTGCTTTAGGCAGTGGCTTAAAGAATGATACTTTTGGGTGGAAAAAGCATTTAAAATGATATGCCTGACGCCTGCCAGACGATTCTTTTTAACCCAGGTATTTTGTTGTAAGGTAAAATATGTTTACAGCTAATTAAAACCTCCCTTTAATGAAGTGCAGGTCATTAGGTGGGTAGCAACGTGTTTTGGTATTTATTTACATCTGTTAATTAACTGAAGTGCATTGATGGTAAATGCCTACATATGTTCTTGCTGCAGTATACACATAAAACTTTCTATGCTTTATGACTTAAAGTACTTTTTCTTACATTTAGATTTACTTCACTGTGACCTTTGTGTCTTCACTATCCAATTATTTTATCCACCAGCCCACCCATTCTGCAAAAAATATCCCTTTTTTACAGTCTAAATGAAAATAAATCTTTGAAAAAACTCAAGTATCTCTGGCAGGATAGGAACATCAGAGGTAGGCTGTGAGCAGATAAATGTGTTCATGGTGTTAGTGAGATAAGAAAGTGGATTTGCTTGTAATTAGTTGCCTAAAAATTCTGTGTATTAATACATTCAGCTATTTCTTAACATTAGGTGTCCTTCAACCACTAGAGACCAAAATATTTAGTACAGAATGGGTCTCAGGGCCTTCTTTTGTTTTTCTTTATTGTGATTCTGGTGAAGGACATTTTTTTATGTTAAAGACTTCCTTTGTGTTTTTGTAAGATTAAATATAATAGCACCTGTATAATTAGAAATAAAACATATACCGTAATTCATATCTTATGAAATAATTAAAATTAGACAGTTGTACTAAAAGCTGGACAGTTTCCACTTTTTCATTAATAAATGTATATATTTTTTTAATTTTGTATAGAGATCTTCCAAAATGTCACAGCTTCTCAATAACTCCACATGCAATATATTTATGGCTGTGGTCCCAATTATGTATTTTCTCAAAGGTGTATTTTTAGTGATAAACAGTGCTTATGTCATATGCGTGGGCAAAGTAATATACTGATAGAACTTGGTACCTTGATTTTTTGATTAATGCTGAAAATGATTCAGTTAATTCTTGAATGAGAGCATTGGCAAAAGGTTTTGAGCCCATGACGTTTTATCTGCAGTAAATGTTATGCATTTGGCACTGATGCTTATCGTATATGATCCCTCAGCACAGGGAATTTACTATAATTCATACCTCTTAACCCTAATTTAACCTTTAACTTTCACCCTAACACAACCCCTTTCAGTTTTACCCCATACATTGTGAATTTTTGGGACCTACTATATTATCCTTCATCCTCCTCCATCCTCCTCCTACAATCTGCAGTTTGGAATTGAACAAAATGTAGTAGATCCCATTAGTTAGCCATTAAACCACAGTCAAACATGTCAGAGCCAGCAGTCATAGTTGCTATATTTTTCTTTAAACAACCCCTCCTTCTCTTTCAGCCCGCCTCCTCCCTTTCGTTTCAAACTCTATTCTAAAACGACTTTTCATATTTAATAGGACTTTCTAACTCTGTTTAAGTCATATCTAAAAGTGATTTAATATTAAAAAAAGTAAATTTTTCAATAATAACTGTGTTTTAAAGTGTATCAGTAATGCCATTGGCTTTATTTAAAATGTCCCTAATGCATGAGCTCCATCCTTCATGTTTTATATTTAAATTACCAAATCATGGGCACCACTCAACAATGTTGGCACATCCCACCTTTTTTGAGTGACACCCTTTATTGGAAACATGGAGGTTGGGGTGGAGCTCATACATTAGGGACAATTTTTAAAAAACACCTGATGCTGACATCTGACAAGTTTGACTGTGGTTTCTGGGTTATTGATGGAATCGACCATAGTTTGCTGTATTCCTGACTGTAGGTTTAAGAAGGAACATGAAGGAAATGGAGGTATATCCTACAATATACACTGTAACCCCAAACCCTGCCTGGAATTTAGAACCATCAATCTACTCATAAACCGTAACCCTTGACCTGATTCCCAGACAGGTAGTAGCCATTAATCAGTAAGCATAACCGTATAATAGCAAAAATCCTAAAAACAATATTTTGGTGGCAATTTCTTTTTTGCTCCAAAATAAATCTATGACAAAATATTTGAATGACAAAAAAGATAACGATCCACAATGTGCAAAAAGTGCCATAAATCAATGTGTCTGCTCTGAATACAGCCTAGTGAAAGAAAGTAAAAGGATAGGCTCTTGTGATTGTGTGACGTCTTTGTCCAATGGATGGACATGTTGGATTATTCTGCTGAGTGCTGGTGATTCCTTTTCCTATATTGTGTCTGCACTGTGCCATCCGTGTTCATCACTACAATCGCCATTGTCTTCATAGGACTTGATTGCTGCAAGGTGTGCAGAGGATTTCCCCTTCTATCCAGAAAATAAAAAGAAACATGCAGAATTTCTGAGATGTATGCCAAACCAGGGCTGCACCTAGGTCAGCTGGTATAGACCAATCCTCAAAATGTATAATGGTGTAATAACCTTTTTTTTGTCTGTCCACTTTTGGACATGTGTGGCTAAACTTAGGAAGATAACTGTATAGGTTTGAGAATGTAGAGGATGTTGAGGAGAGTCAGATGGCTATCTATAGTTCAGGAAACTCGAAACCATCTCTTATTTCTCTTGATTAATGGCATGTACAGTTAGAAAGTAATCCTGCATGTAGGGCAAACCTACAATAATATATTCTAGCTGTAGTTTTTACTAAAGTAAAAAAAAACTTAACAAATCATATTACACAAGGAGTGGAGCTTTTACAAAAGGATGCCACTATTCAGCTGTGCCTAAGTAGCATGCTGTCTAAACATTCCTCCATTAGTAAGTCTGTATTGGTTATGGTTTCTATGTAAACCTATGCAATGACTACTGCACAATACTGTACAAGTTCTGTTGAGCAGACTAGTTGGCAGTAAAGACCTTATGGCATTCACAGTCCTGTCACTGTTCAGACTTGTCTCTGATCCATGACTTTCCGTTCATCTTGGTTTGTGGTATAATATTGGTGGGAAATTAGCCCAATACAACAAAGGTTTCATGGCTTGCTATTTGCTAAA